GTAAAAATTTCTCAGTTTTGTATTATTATTGAAAAATCAAATTTTTAATAATTAATTTATTTGTTATATTAAAAGTATAATATTTAAAAAAACAAATTTGAAATGAGTTACATTAACTAAGTTCAAAAAACGAGTGTAAATTTTATTTTATTTAAACGATGTGTGTGTTCTTTTCCTCGTTTAACTATTTTTGTGTTTTTTTTGTTTTTTATACGATTAACAGTAAAGATAGGTAAAACGTGTATAAATGATCGAGAAATCGATAGACTACCATTTATAACTTGTCCTGATAGCTAATGAGTTTCATTTCAAATCCACTTTCTTCTTGTCTTCAGATAACAGAGAAGAATTGTACCGTAGAGATCTATATTACCGGCCGTGTGAAACCCTTTTTATTTTTTTTTTTTTTTAAACGACGAGAAAATGATTTCATTTCGCTACGTAGACAAAAAACGTCATGTCAAACGACATTCTTTTTTTTTTTTTTTCTTAGAAATAGATGTAAGGAAATAAATTTTGAGATCAGATAAATTTCTCAGATTATTCTAATGGTAAAGATAATGTAGAATTTCCAGGTATAAAAATCATAATAATATCGTTAAAAGACCTTGACGAACTAATAAACTTTTTTTTTACGTTTTTTATTTTATAAAAACGTAAAGGACACTTGTGTATTTTATATTAAAAAAAAAAAAAATTATTAGCCATTCAAGCAACAATTTTAATTACAGATTTAAATACGGATGTATATAAATACGCCATTTTGATTTTATAAAAAAAAAATAAAAAAATTAAAAATCAAAATAACTTTTTTTTACGTCGTTACCAACTCTCAATTCAAACGCGGAATTTTATTTTTGTATAAAAATTACGCGGATATTGATGTGCATCGTAAAATATAAAAAAAACAAAAGTGCAACTTTGTAAGAAATACTTTTATGTTACAATTATTAATACTTTTATATTGCAACGTGACATTGAAATTCCTTTTCTTGGTAACCCATAAAACAAACTTGGACCTTCTTTTTGCAGTTTTATCTAAAAAAAAAACACATAAATAAAAAAAAAGAAACAAAGTAATTCGCTCGTAAATATTGTGGCATAAAATAATTTTCTTTTTTCTCATTCGTACATAATAAATTCACACGATATGTATCATGATTTTCAAAACACGTGATTCTCTTCCATTTTATTCTTCTGATTAGAAACAACACAAGCAGTTTTCTCTATTTTTCTGTTTCTTTCTTACTAAACATGCGTGGGTGTAGAAATTGCTTTATTGTAAGGGCGTCGCGACGTCTGGCGTCATTCAGACGACTGTTTGAAGCTTAGAAAGTGGTCTTTTACTAGAAAGAAAAAACCAGTTGACCGAATCGTGTATAATAAAAATCATTCGTATGTTGATATTTGATGACTTTTCAATCCATTTAAAAACTCTGTTAAAATAATCAACAGTATACCGTTCGATATGTCAGATTGTCAATCAAATGAATTCCTTTATCAGAAATTAAAATGATAACTATTTAAAGAAATGTTTGACATAACTCAAACTGATTGAAATAAAACAATGATTTTTTTTTTCCTGATTAAAAACAAATCTTACAAATTAATCTCAAAGTGATAGAATTCATAATTATTTATAAAAAAAAAAAACATAACGTGATTGAAATCATTATTATTAATTCATGACAAGTCTCAATTTTTCATTTGTTCAATTTAATTAGTCTCAAAAGAGTATAGCGTGTAATGGTGGAAAATGAACCACCCGGTATATGGGAGGAGCACGACACGCAGAATAAAGCAACCTAGCGCTAGTTCGGGTAACGTATCCAGTATTTGACCTAATGACACGATCCCGTGACGTCAGGGAACGAAAGGTAGGTCAACCGAGTGAGTGTAAAGGAGGTGAACCGGTCAAAGAAGGCCAAAGACTGACCTATCCTAGTCACGAAAATCGTCTTGCACAGAAGTCTAAGGGTTGTCCTAACACCATCAAACTAAAAGAAAGTACTTTTCCTTGCTCTTCATCTTCTTCTTCTTCTTTTTCTATCGTAAGAACTAGTGAAGGACCTTGACCTAACTTCTTCTCCTAAAACGTTAAAAATTCGTGTCCTTGGTTGGTATGACAGAAAAAAAAATTAAAAATTGAGAAACCCACCCCCTTACCACTCCTTACACTTTTACATACTTAAGTTATATGCATTTGTACATATATATATATATAACTGAAATCAGCTACAAATTAATGAGAATTGTAAAAGGTGACAACTTATAAGGGTTATTATAATAATATTAGTTTTTTAATATTATATTAGTTAATATATTTATTAGTTTATATATTTATATATAATATTATTTATATAATAGTTATAGTAATATAGATTATATAGTTATAGTAATATATATTTATATATTAGTTAATATATTTATTAGTTTATATATTAATATATAAAATATTTATAATATAATAGCTATAGTGTAATATATGTAGATTATATAGTTATAGTAATATATTTTTAATAAAAATACGTTATATTAACCCTTATTGGTTGTCACCTTTTACAATTCTCATTGATTTGTAGCTGAATTCAATTTGAATGCAATGTTTACACATCGATTGTCATTTTGATTTGATGACTAAAACGTCAAAATCCCATTATCATTGAAAACGTGCCACACGTCTGATAAGGGTTAAAATTAAGGGAGCTGGGGAAGGGGGAGTTTAACCAGAAAGAAGATAGGTATATATAATTCATAAAAAAGATTCAATCTCGAATTGATGTGATCATCGTACAGCGACTAACTTCAAACGGTCGATTCCACAATCCTTTGTCTAAATTCCGAGCCGAGGCCATTTCGTACGTCATTTATCCAAACCTTTTTTTTTGTCCTTCCCTTTCTTTCATTTTTTATTTTTTTTTTTTTCTAATTTTTTTTTTACCAACAAAATAATTTCTTTATATTCGGAAAGAGTGTTTGTAATTTGTAATCGTGTGTATGAAGACAAAGAAAAGGATATGAAAAGATAGTCATTGTAATATCATCGAAGTGGATGATGTCTCCGTGACAACAAGAGTGGCCAAGTGTGTGTATGTGTGTGTAGTGGTGACACTGAGATTTACTAATCTAACCAAATCAAATTTTGGTTAGCAAGAAAATTTGATTTACACCTTTGAGTAATTCACCACCCCCTCTTATTAAAATAAAAATTAAAAAAAAAACCAGTGGGTAACCTATCTCAAAATAAGTTGATGGAAGTTCTTTTTACAAGGATATTATCATCCTAATCACCCTAATCATCATTGTCATTAATTCCAAGATCATCTTTGGTGAAAAACAGAAAAGGTGTTACACGAGAAACGACCCTTCTAGAATCTTTCCATATTTTCACTGATGCCAGTAAGTTATGTGTGTATATATATATATATACATATGTACATATGTATATACATATGTATGTATGTATATATGTAATATAACCATTCGAACAAGTCAACGACGAGTTTTGCCCCTATTCGATCGATAATACTTTTTCCGATGACTCAAAGAAAACTCCAGCTTACGAAGGGCAGAAGGAAAGGGGAATGTGGGAGAAAAGGAGAAGAACTTTGAAAATTTATCCTCTCCGTCCTTCTCTCGAATTCTCCATTTTCCCTAGAAACTTTTTAAAGTCGTCCTTAGATACGAGTTTTGCCTTGGCATCGTACCACTCCTCCTTAAACCCAACCCCCTTCCCTTTCTCGTGCTTTCGTATTGTATAAAACGTATCTGTACCGTTAGTACACTTGACCTCAGTACTCTCCATTTTTTTTTCCTTACAAGATTCGGCTTTTAGAATTCTATAATTCATCATAGATAGTTTGGTCAATAATTTGTTCATTTGAATTCAATTGGTATCATTTAATGACTAAGTGTCAGTGTCATGTTGCCATTAATCAAATACTTGAAATCTCAGGTGATTTCCTATCTTCAGTTTGGCCTGGTCAACTGTTATATCTTATGTTTTAAAAACCATGTGTACCTATTACTAGTTTTTTTTGTTCCCATATCTCACTCGTAGGGTTCCAACAACGAAGGCCTCAGCTTATCATCGTTCACGGCCATTCTATGTTTCGGTTAGTCGATCGACCCCTAAGTTTCAGGCAACGCGCCAACGGTTGGATATATAAGGTCAGTTTTCATAATAAAAAAATGAAAAAGAAAAGAAAAGAAAAAAATTATCGTACGGTTTAATGCGCAAGAATAATTGTCTATATCGCAGTAGTAGTCTTTTGGTCACTTTGCCAAATGGGTCATCACAACTATGTTGAAAAAACATTATTGGAATAATGATGAAGGATACAAGGAACGAAATTTCGAGCTCGTTGTGTTTTAAGTTAGCATTTAACGCCCACGATGGAACCATAAAAGTCCCTAGAAATTCAATGACGTTAAGAGGCATCTTTTAAACGAATTATCAAAAAAGATTTTCTCATTTGATGTAAGAATTCAACCTTGAACAAAATAAAAAAAGAACATACAACACGTAGATCGATTCGTTCGACGTAAATTCGTTGCAATAACCAATGAACCATGATGGACAGTGATATATGTAGATCGATGAAGCCCAATCAGTGCTCTAACCAAATCCAATCGCTAATGACCAAAACCAATTACCGTGTTGCTTCACCATCTCGTACTCGCTAAAGCAAAACTATAGTATAACTAATTACGAACAAAGTTAACTTAGTTTCAATGCTAACTTTGTTGCAACGCGTTAGCTCGAGATTTCGTGTATATATCCTAATGGTTGATGGGTATTTAATAATTATAACATGCATTGCAGATTTTCTATTTAATTATAAATATAATACAATACACCTTGATTCGTGTGTGTGTTTTAGATTGAACTATTATACAAATATATCTACAATGTTGCTTATCCTTTTGTAATATTTGAACACACGTTTATTGTTTTTTTAATAGAAAGATATTTTTCAAAATGAAATAATAAACATGTCAATCATAAACAAAACAAGAACCATTTGGCAATAAGTATAATAATTATCTTAAATAAATCAACGATCCATCTTTGATTAGAAGTCCCGTGGGAAGTGCACATTAAATGTACTCTTCAGATGTTATTCCTCTGGTCAAAGGAACCTGCGGCGGATCCTAGGGCAAGTCCATGGTTTGCCTGGTTGGCTACCGCTGTTATACTATGGCGTTGCAGAAGACGAATTACCAAAGCCATTTTAGCGGTGTCACCGTTTAGGCTATTAAAAAGACGTACGGCAGTTGCTTTATTGAAAGAAAAATCATCTTCGGTGACGATGAAACCTAAAGGAACGACTACGACGATGACAACAACTGCAGCTACGATGACTATGGCAACACCAACTATGAAGACTCGGGTTAAACAACAACAATATGGTCTTTTACGAAATCATCATTTTCATCAACAATTTCAACAACAACAACAACAACAACTGAAAGAAGACAAGTGTTGCAAGGGTACTTCAACTGGAATTAAAACTCGTGTTAAACGATTATGCACCGGTGACGGTCCTCATATTTTTTCGTCATCGTCATCAGTCATAACGAATAATAATCATCATCATCAGGTCAATTACAGAGTTACCAGAAGTGGCAGAATATATGGGAAATATCATAATAGAATCTTACCGACGGAAACAATTTGTTTAACATAATTTTGACAATGGTTTACATAAACGTGTACATATCAAAAATATTATCGTATCTTTAGTCCCTTTTAAAACATTTTTTTTTATTATTAAACTAATTAGAATCCTTCTAAAAAACCTGTTTATAGAAATATGGGGTCATCTTTTGACGATTCGTTCTCCTTGTGTCCTCGACACGTTTTCAAACTACGATCGTTTGGCAGAGACCTTCAACGAGGTCGTGTCATGGTACTTTTCGTAGACAATTTTTAGATCAAATGCCAACTATAGTCTATGCTTGGCTATCCAACCTTTTTTTGGAGACTTGGCTGGCGTCTTGGTATAACCTCCTTTTTTTTTTTCAACAGAGTGCAGATCGATACAAACCTTCCAATGCGTTGAGGTCTAGGGCATGAACTGTGTTTCGTACGATAATATTTACGAAATTTTTATTATTTTTTAACACTTTGATAATAAATTCTCGATAGCATTATTAGGGTGAATCAAAAGTTTGTATGAGTTTTGATAGTGTTGCAAATTTATTTTTGAAACTGCATAATTGATTGGTTTTCTTTTTTTGGTAAAATTTAATTTGGAAATATTAATGACTAAAAAACCCACGAGATCTTGGTTCACCCTCCTTCTTCTGGTTAGGATTTAGGGTTTACCTTAATATATTTTTAAACTTCAGCTTGGTTTTATTTTTTTTTGTAACATTCATTTTGCAAATATCAATGAAAAAATTATTATTTAAAAAAATAATTAAAAATTTTAATTAATTAAAATTAATTTAATTACAAAATTTATTTTTTGTTTGTAAAATTTACTTTGAAAATATTATTTAAAAAATATTAATTAATTAAATTACTAAAGTTCAGCAAGATGAAAAATTAAAAAAAAATATTATGTGTACAGATTACACGTGTCAGAAAAGAAACCTTCAACAAACGAAGTTTCAAGAGTAAGATAATTGTAGGATTTATTTATTATGATATTATTACCATATATACGACATGCGTCGCTCACGAGGCTCATTTAGGAGGCTCGTTTAGAAGGCTCGTTCACAAGACTGGTTCACGAAGCTTGTTTACGAGACTCGTTCACGACGACGCACGAGACACGAGACACGGGACACGGGAAACGACACCACACGTGTGTGTGTGTTAGTGTTTTTTTTTTTATTTTATAGAGGAAGAAATACATTTACGTATTCCAAGCTTAGGTGTTTCGCCTGAATATGTCGAACTCAAGATGTTAATACCGACTAAAACCTACCCTTTCCTCTGGCCTCTGATCCCCACGGAAACCGCCGTTAGGCATTACTTCGTGGAGGGAAGATCTAGCTACTGCTCTTCCTTCTGGTAGCTAAGGTGACTTCTTCCTTCCTTCTAGTTACTGTCTTTCGCTTTTCTTCTTTCAATGGAACGTAATTCCGTAAGGACTTCAGTAGCAAAGGTACTGGTAGCGTTCCAGGCAGTTTTCGATGACAGCATTACTATCCTATTAGTGTCTCTGGTTGGATTGTCTGGTTCAGGATACTCTCCAGTTAATCACGCTGCGGGTTGACACGAGGGCACACAAGAAAACGTGCTCCACATCTTCAGTGACTCCTGGGCAGGACGGACACTCCGGGGAATCATCGTGCTTGAAGCGGTGGAGATACGCCCGGAAAAAGCCATGTCCTGACAACATCTGTGTAAGATAGTATTTGACTTTGCCGTGACTCCGGTTCAACCTAACGTCAATCTTAGGTATGAAACGGTGCGTCTACCTTCCCTTCTCTGCAGCATCCCACTATAGTTGCCATCGCAAGATGCTATGTTGCCGTTGTTCTGTTCTGAGTTCTTCCGGGCTCAGTGTGGTTGGACCTCTTTCGTTGATATAGGTTCCATCTTGCCTCAGCTAAGACTCTAAGAGGCAGAGTTCCAGAAATGACACACACTGCTTCCTCAGATATTGTGCGGAAGGCACTGGCTAACCTGTAAGGCACTAAGTCTGTAAATTGGACCCACTTTTCTCCATGATTCTTGGTTTTCCAAGGCATCAGACCAGATTAATATTCCATAGGTCAGCACGGATGTGACTACTGATGACAACAGTAACCTCCGATTTTGCTTTGGACCTCCAACATTCGGCATCAATCGAGATAAGCTAGCTCTGACTACTGAGGCCTTCTTACTCTCGTGTTCAACTTGCTATAATAATATATATTAATAATATATATATATATATATATAATAATAATAATATTCATACTATATTCAAAAATAATATTCATACAATATTCAAAAAAAATATTCATACAATATTCAAAAATAATATTCATACAATATTCAAAAAAAATATTCATACAATATTCAAAAATAATATTCAAAAAAAATTAACGAATAAAATAAACGAGGCTCGTTCACGAGGCTCTTTTTTCGAGGCTCCTTTACAAGGCTCTTTTACGAGGCTCATTTACGAGACTCGTTTACGAGGCTTTAACGATGATGATGAATGATGAATGATGAATGATGAATGATAAATGATGAAAATATATATTATTATGATATATAATATAATGATGATATAATAATATAATTAATAATATAATAAAAAAGGCTCGATTACGCTTAACGCGAAACTCTTAACGCGAAACGCTTAACATGAAACGCTTAACGCGAAACGCGAAACTCGTATACTAGTACACAAAATACTAGTAGTACTAGTATATTAAGTAGTACTAGTAGTACTTGTTAGTATAAGTTCTACTAACTTAGTATAGTATAAGTATAGTATAACGTATAGTATAAGTATACTAGTATACTAGTATACTAGTACTAAGTAGTAATAGTACTTACTATACTTTGTATAGACACTATATTTCTAATATATAAACTATGGTTTCTTAGAAAGGGGAGCTTTTCTTTAACGCATAAATAATGTTTTATTATACCATCTATTAGGTACGATCACATGTTTTATTTCTCATTTTAAATTCTCTCATTTTCCCTTCATCGTAGCTTTTCTCTTAGGCCAGAAGACTTTATTTTTTATGTATCGCAAACTACAGAAAAAAGTGTGAAATTAAGCAGGAAAACACGATAAGGAAGATTCCAGAGTTCAACGGAACGTGTTCTTGCACGCCAGAAGGCGTTATTAATTGTGTAGAATAATATCTCTAATGCGGGTAATTATGCGTTCACTGTTGGAAATAGTAAAAACGATCATCGTAAGTCATTAAATAGCTTCCAATCAATATATTTCTTTTTTAATCCTTTCTACTCATACTAGACAAGTATAATCTCAATAGGTTACTTTTGTAACATTATTTTTTATTTTCTATTCAGATGATTCGCAATTGGATATTGTGAATTGTGATTCAAGTGTCTCTCGACCGAAAATTAACGCCGAATAGTGTCGTGAAAATCTGCAGAAAGAAAATATTAGGGAAATTTCAAAGAGTTCGTCGAAAAGCGTTCGTGCATTTCGTGCACGCAGAGAGGTGTTTAGTTACCATACATATTTTAGTTACCATAAGCAACTCGTCTCATTTCTTCAAATTGAGAACTTGCTTACTGTGTAATATGTTATGTATTATATGTCAATAAAATGTAAAATAATTTTTGAATTTGGTAACAATATTATAATAATAATATTATAACAAATAAACCCCCTACAATTATCCTACACCTGAAATTCTACATTCGTCTCATTTTCTCGAAACTTCGTTTTTTGAAGATTTCACTTTTAACACGTGTGATCTGCACACATGTTGTTTATTTTTTCTCTTCCTACTTAGTATTGTGGCCGTCTCATAGACGCCCGCCGCTCCGTTACATTGCCGCCTACCGCTCCGTTACATTTTTTCAAATCACACTCATTCTAACGAAGTTTTCACTTCAAAAATATTAATTAAATATTTATTAAAGAAAATATGAACTTTTGGTTAACCCTAATATTTTGTTAAAGTTTAGTTTGACATTTGAACGAAGCTCTTTTCAATAATTTTCTTATTTCTAAACCGAATTATTGTTGATGATATTTAAGATTAAATGAAATCGAAAGGAATGATGATAAGACACAAAATTTGGGAAAATATTTAAAAGAGTATGAAAAAGGGTATAGAAAATGTGTATCTTTTCTAAACGTTTCTTCTTTTCTCGAGTCCTCTCATCGCGTGAAGAACGCCTAGGCTCGCAACAACGAAGACAACAATGAAAACCTCCGCAAGTTTCATATCAGAGATGTGCCAATTTGAAAGGCACAATGCTCGCGGTTTCAGAATGAGCCAACATATCGAACGACGAGTAACACAGTCATGCAGAATGAAACGTATCTGTGTCAAATTTAGTGACTCTATACAAGTATACTCTATCCATTGCGTCATAACTATGACGAACACGTTTTACTGGATCCATCTATATACTCTTTTTTGTACCCACGCATTTAGGAAATAACAAAAAAAAAAACACAATTGGGCCAAGTTGAACTGAGATTTACCTTAAAAATGAATACAAATTTTCCTACACATTCTTAGGGATTTTATTATATTTATATTTCTAAATAATTTTTTAAAGAATATTCATAGTTTAGAATTTTTCTTAGAAATTTTAGGAACGTAAATTACAATTTTAGTTTATAATAAATTTTGTTGTGCACCCTATTAACTAAAAACACCGTATTTGTAAAATAGTAGGTAGAAATAAAATATATCTGATATATTAAAAAAAAATACATATATATATATACAATATATAATTAAGGGTTGGGAAGTTATTAACCCTATAAAACAAAGTCATAGTTTATAAATTTTTAGAAATACCAATTTTAGTTAATAAGAAATTTTATTGTGCAACCTACTAGCTTAAAATATCGTATTTGTAAAATGGTAAGAAGAAATAAAATATATTAGATATGTATTAAATATATATATATATATATATAATTAAGGGTTGAGAAGATAATAATCCAAGTAAATTCCAATTTTATTTTATAACAAATTTTGTTGTGCACCGTAATTACTAAAAACATCCTATATAAATAATAGGAAAAAATAAAATACATTAGGTGTATTAAAAAACCAAATATACATAATTAAAAGTTCCGAAAATAAATTGAACTAATTACACAAAATTTATAAATAAATATTCGATCAATACTATTCTTTTTTTTTTTTGTTCTTTTTTTTTTGTTTTTTAAAGTGTATCGAATAAATTTTGTAAAGCAATTTAATCGATGCTATTAAAATTCTAATACAATGCAAAATAGATATATTATATATTCGAATGAAGTAACAAAAGGTTTTGAGAGAAGATGATAAAAGAAGGAACGTGAAAGTGAATCCCTTGTCTTCTAATCAAGTGTACACGAAAATAACTCTGGAGAGACTTAATCAACGTGTCTAAGGTGAGCGGATGAAATGAGGCCCTATCTGATTTGAATAGAATAACCTGCAGGGATGGGGCTTCGCTCTAAGGTCACCACGGAGGCCTTGCTTGTTCCAAATTAGCAACGATCAACGATTTTATGTCATCGAAAATTCCACTGTGTATTCTTTTTTTTATTATCTACTACCTTTTAACATCTAATCAAATTACATTTTAATTAGAAATCTTAAACAAATTCTTCTTTAAAATGTTCATTTGTAAATGGACCTTTTTAATACCTAATTAAATTAATTTTAATTAAAAATCTTAAACAAATGAATTCTTTAAAATGTTCATTCGTAAATTCATCTTTTAATACCTAATCAAATTTCAAATTTAATTTTTATTAAAAATCTTAAACATGTAAATTCTTCTTTAAAATGTTCATTCATAAATGCAACCTTTTAATACCTAATCAAATTAATTTTTATTAAAAATCTTAAACAAATAAATTCTTCTTTAAAATGTTCATTCGTAAATGCAACCNATTAAAAATCTTAAACAAATAAATTCTTCTTTAAAATGTTCATTCGTAAATGCAACCTTTTAATACCTAATCAAATTAATTTTAATTAAAAATCTTAAACAAATAAATTCTTCTTTAAAATGTTCATTNAAATGTTCATTCGTAAATGCAACCTTTTAATACCTAATCAAATTAATTTTAATTAAAAATCTTAAACAAATAAATTCTTCTTTAAAATGTTCATTTGTAAATGCATCAAATTGGTTTTGTTTCTTTTTTTTTTTCTCAAACAAATAAAAGTTGCATTTTTAATCAAAGTAATTTAGGGTGTCGGTTAAATGAAAAAGTTTAGTTGGAAAGAGTTATAGTAATTAAATAGTAATCAATCGAGAAATGAAAACAGAAATAGGGATAGAAAAAAAGAGAGAGAGAGAGAGAGAAGGTAAAAAACTTTTGTTATTCTCGTTTTATGAAAATCGGAAAAAGTTTTTGTTAAATCACTTGAACCCCGAGAGAGAGAGATAAGGGGTTGGAGGGTGAATGGGGGAGGGTAGATGATGAAAAATTAGCTTTCAGTTTATTCATCGAACGTATAAATAACACGACGAATAAGCCTTACAAAGAACATTAACGATAATTGCATTGATCAATAAGGAAAATGAAGAAGGGGTTAAAACAAGGAGTTGGAAATAAATATGATTGTGTGTTTATGTGTGTGCATATGAATGAATATAATGACATTATGATGAAATAATTGAATGAACATTTTTTTTATAGTAAAACAAAGTTTACTTACTTTTTCTTTTTTTTTTGTTCTTTTTTTTCCACCCCCTTCTATTTTTTACTGAAAAATACTCGTGTTTGGTTATAAATATTATTTTAATGTTGTAATTTTTTTTTTATTCACCATTTTTCTCTCTGAATAAAGTTTTTGTTAATTAATGTGAATTTAATTAATTAAATTAAAACTTTCAACGCGTTCTAAAGTTCGACAAAGTTGTTTTCCAAGTAATTTCAATTTTTTCCAAACATAATAATTTAATTACAAGTATCGCAAAGAATAAAAAAGAAGATAAAAAGTAATCTATTAAAAATGATAAACATCAAAGACGAGTATTAAAAATTTATTAAATGTTTTGCTCAAGTTATCTCACGAATCCGACTAAAAAAGAAAAAAAGTTCCTATATCTGATACTGAAACTTTCTTTATTTTGGTATATTAAACTTTAACCATTGTCATATTTATGACTTAAAACAACTAGCACAGATCATAAACTAGGGGATAAAATAAAAATAAAAATAAAATAATAAA